GTGTAGTGCCAGGACATCACCTTCTGGGTAGTTGCACTGTCCCGCCCCACCCCTACCTGGAGCCCCCTGGCCTGCCTGGCAGTCACCCCTTGGCCTGCTCCAGCTACTCTGCCCTTTGGCTCTACCTCTCGGACTCTAGGTGCCTGGCTGTGCAGGGAAGGGGGCAGTTACCAGCCCCTAGGCTCAGGGCAGCCACTGGCCCTGGCAAGTGCCCCAGGCAGGAGAGCAGCGAGGCTCACAGGTGGGGAACTCTCAGCAAGGGCAGAACTACTCCCCTTGGCCCCAGGCGAAACCCCTGGTGTGGTGTTGAGTCAAGTGCCCATGCATGCCCAGCCACTGGATAGGGCTTTTTGGGCTATGGCTGTGTAGCCCCAGATGACCGGTGTGACTTGACCACTCTGGCTCCAGCCCTGCTCTGACTGGTTAAGCCAGTATCTTGGTCCCCTCGTGGGATGTCTGTCCTGATGTCTAGTCTGGAGTTTGCTTTTCCTAGCTCACAGCCTGGTCCTTGGTTTTGCCTCTCAGCCTTTCCCAGACTAAGGCTGCTTGTCCCAGTTTAGAGTCTAATGGTATGAAACTAACGGGCCTCTCCACGGTACTAAGCCAGGATCGTCTTGGCTCCTTTTCGTGTCCTACAGGTTCAGCTACTGCTTCTGTGAGGCTGGTTCTCAAATCCACCTTTCCTCCTTCATCCAAACTCCTCTTTCCAGCTGCCTCTTAGGCATTCCCACCACTACCTCTCCCTCATCAGGGTGGAGCTTCTTATTGTTTCCCCATCAGGCAGCTTCACACCTCTCCCCATCCCCAAGGCCTATGATCTGGGCAGCCTCTTGGCTCTTCTACCCCATATCCAGCCTCTTGCTAGAGCCTGTCTCCTGTCTAATGTCCCCCTTTCCCTGCTGTCCTCACAGCTAAACCCCTTCTCCATGTAGTGGTCACTTCTTGCCTTTATCACAGTAACATCCTCTCTGGCCTTCCTTCTTCTGCTCCCTGGGGTCTGTCGAAAATGCTGCTACTGAAGATCCTTTGTTCTGCTGCTGTTCAAACTACATCACTCCCTCCATTGGCTCCCTGGTTCACTGCATCAGATTTGCACACCGCCTCCTCTGGGTCCAATATCAGTGGGGCTGTCTCTGACCCCCTTGGTGGATTCATTTCAGTCCCTTGACCAATGTAGGTTCTGTGGAATCTCCACTTTCATTTTAAGAAAAACTTCTTGTCCTCCTGGTTGCCAAGCAAACCTTCTAAATGGGACTTGTGTGAAACCAGTGCAGGATTGTCCCGAGTCTGTAGACCGTGTTAGCTTTGAGAAGCATGAACTTCCCTCATTAATATCAGCTGGGCGATAACTCTTAAACCTACCAGTGATACTTTGAGAGCTACGTTATCACATAGTGAAGGTGTAGAACTGGGCTCCTAATTTGTGCACGTACAGCAGTTGTGTGTACAAACTGAGGAACTGCACATGCCAGTGGCTAGTTAAACAAAAGGACAGACATAACTTTGTTTCTAACAGCTCTGGCATTGCTTTTCCCAGTCAGTGACAGGAGCTTTACCGACTGAGACCCCGGTCCTCCAACTTGTACCATGTGGTTGGATCCTGTGCCCACACAGAAGTCTCTTAAAGTCCACATGGATTCTCTGAGTCTCTGAAACAAGTTGTAGGCTCAGGGCCCCACAGTTAATTTCTACTGAAGCAGGGTAAACTTCCCATTGATTTCAGTGGAGCAGCTGAGAGATTAAAAACCGGTAGACTAAGTTGCCATCACCCTTCCAGCTAGTGCCTTGGAGGTGCCAGGAGTCTGGGATTAGCAGTAGGCAGGGTACCAGCGAAGGAAGCAGGTTCCTGGGGCGGCCAATAGAAAGGGGCGTCACTCCGTCCGTTATTGGGGCAGCACGTCTGGGTCTTCGGTGGCAATTCGGCAGCGGGTCCTTCACTCCGTCTCTTCCTCTTCGGCGGCACTTCAGCGGCAGCTCAATCGGGTTTTTCTTTTTCTTTTCTTTTTCTTCACCGCTTGGGGCGGCAAAAAAGCTGGAGCCAGCCGTGGCAATAGGGGCTGTCAGGGATTGCTAAATACCTGTTGTTAGCCAGCAGGACATGCCCCATCTGGGGCTTGGCTAGAGGAAGATCTTTGTCAATACTGTGGTATTAGTTCAGCACCCCTTCTTTGGCTGGGGGAGCAAATGGGTGCTCACCCTCCTCTCTGGCTTGGGGCAGGTCAGGATGTCTCTTTCCTTACCAGCTGGCTCCCGAAAGGGGCAGGGACGCCCTATTCCCCATCTCGCTCTGTCTCCTAGATCCTAGAAGACTACCTTCTGGCAGAAGATGCTCCTTTGCTGGAAGAAATGGCGGAGGAAGATGAGGAGATTGACCTGTACAATGAAATGACGTTTGGGTTAGGTAGGGCTTGGAGGCAGCAGGAGAGGATGAGCATCAGGGCACGGGGGGTGAGCAGACTTGGGAAAGAGAGGGCAATGGGGAACACAAAGATTGGGCAGTTGGGATGTGACTTGGGCTTGTTGGGAGGTGTTGATGGCTGGGGCTTGGGGGTATTACTTGCAGGAGCGATCCCACACCAGGGGAGTTGCTCTCTGGAGCAGGAAGCTCAAAGGTCAATTTCCCAGCATCTAGCTCCCCCTGTTGGTCAGGACAGCATCTCCCCCAGTTCAGACTGGGCACACCACAGGCAGTGGAGCTGCTGTGGAATCCCCCAGCTCCCTGCCCCTGACTGGAGCCCACCTTTCTTTCCTCCAAAGATCGAGACTCCATGGAAGAGGAAGTGGCAAAAGCCCTGGCTCCTCCAGTTAAAGGAGGCCCCGAGCTGAGTCTTGTGGGCAAAAATGAGGCAGCGGTGGTAGCAGAGGTAGCGGTGGAGGAGGAGGATGAGTACAAGGCCACTGAGCAGCCTGGCCTGGGGGCAGAAGAGGAGCAGCCCATGCTGGAGGAGATGGAAGAGGCAGGGGAAGAAAGTGAGGCAGAGCCTGGGGCTCAGCATGACGACTTTGCTGACATGGAGGAGGAGATAGGGGTAGATGAAGAGGAGGAGGAGGAAGAAGAGGAGGAGGAGGAGGAGGAGGAGGAAGAAGAGGAGCAGCATGACGAGGACAACGAGGAGCAGAATGATTTGGGAGACCCAGCAGTGATGAGAGCTGTGCACAGCAAGCCCACGCTGGAGGTGAGAAAGGCCGGGGGTGGTGGCTTCAGAAGGACATGTGGATTTAGTCCTTTCTCCATGAGTGTTTGGGGAGTGGTGCTGTCTCCTCCCAGCAGTCTGGGCAGGGGGTCCCTCCCACCCACGCACAGCAGGATTCTCCCCATTAACTTTAGCAGCCCCTGGGAACTGGGAAGATACCAACTGAGGTGGGGGAGGGGGTCTGCTGGGAGATGGCCATGTGCATTGCCCCTTCCTGTCACTGACCCCAGGGTCAGCCATTCTGGGATTGAGGACAGATCCTCCCCATGCTGGGAGCAAGTGACTCCCCCACACTCTCCCTGGGGCAAGTCCCCTTCCTTCTCCCCCAGGTCCAGAGGGAGGCAGGGAAGCTGAATTCCCCAGACCGTGGGGACTGAGTGCAATTCTTCTGTGCCCTGCAGAGCCTGGACTCAGCAGTTCTCGACAGCAGGATCGGCTCCACCTGGGGAGAGTTCGAGGGCGATGACTTGGTAAGAGTGAGGTCACCTTCCCCCTGCCTGTCCCGGTTCCCTGGAGTGCTGCTGGCTGGGGGAGGGGGGATGGGAGGAGCTTGGGGCTCCCCCACAACCAGTGCTCCTGCACCTCACAGCATCTTGTCTAGGGAGGGGGCTGGGACTGGAGCAATGGGGAGCTTCAGTTGCTGGCCCTGTACCTGCAGCACCCACTGCTGGAAGAGACTAGGGCAGTGGTCCCCAACACGGTGCCCGCGGGTGCGCCCGCATACTGGCCAGCGGACAAGCATCCGCTGAAATGCCACTGAAAAGCGGCCTCACCAATAGGTGTTGCTGCTGAAAAGCAGCCTCACCAATAGGTGTCGCTGCTGAAATGCTGCTGATTTTAGTCGGCATTTTGGCAGCGACGCCTCTTGACATTGCTGCTTCTTGGCGGCATTTCGGCAGATGCTTGTCTGCCGGCCACGGTCCTCGGTGGCTCGTCGTCCGGCACCCGCCACCCGGAAAAGGTTGGGGACCACTGGACTAGGGTGAGTGGCTGGGAGCTCCCCTGATAGTTGTAGCTTCTACAGCGCCTGCTGCTGGAAGAGGCCAGGCCTGGAGTAGCTGTAGGTTCACTCAGTGTTTCTAAGCTGTTCTCTGCAGTGCCTCCTGCTGGCAGATGCTGGGACTACAGCTGTTCTTTCCTTCTTGCTCCCTCCACCTTTGCTCGGTGAGTCTTTCCATCGAGCCTAACTCCCAGTGCCTTTCAGATGGTTGCAGATTCAGGTGCGTGGACCTCATCCCCAAGCAGCATCCTGTCGCGCCACATGTTGGAGGTGAGCACCACCCTTTGCCTTCTCCCCGTATCCAGAAGAGGGCATCACTGGGCACCGTGAGCATGGAACCATCCAATGCTCTGGAGCCATCAAGCTGCCTAGGCTGGAGGTCCCCTCTCCCTCACTCCCCTGAACATCCAGGGGTCCAGAGCCCAAACCAAAGGGCTTGCTGAGTTTCAGGCAGGGGCTGGTACATGGGACTGATGGATATGGTGGGGGAGTGTCCCAAGGGTGGGCAGGAGCTGGCATGGCCTGCGGGCAGAGGGCTCTTTCAGGCTGAAGGTGCTGTAGGAACGTGGAAGGGTTCCAGGACTGGCGGTCGATGGAGAATGGGCTTTGGTGGCCCCGAAGGAGTTTGGAGGCATGGAAGAGACTCCTCTGGCCCATCCCCCTGAGGCGGGGTTGGTGCAAAGACTTGTGGGAGAAGGGACCTGCTCTGCAGAGTCCTGTGCCCTGCTAGAGCTGAGCTGATCCTGTGGTGGAATTTGGGAGTTCTGTGGGGAGGGCATATCCCCAACTGTAGCACTCCTCGTGGGCTCGGGAAAGCCAGCCAGCCCTTGCCATGCTCTGGGGAGTGTATCGGCTCCACAATCCCTCTAGCAGCTCCAGAGCTGGAGGTGCCCGTGCGCAGAGCTTTCCCCTACCCCCACTCCATTGCGACTCCAAACCCCAGGGCTGGCTGGCTTTGTGGCCTACAGGCAGGTATATACAGCTGCTTTCCAAAGCAGGGATTGTCCAGCCATCCGCCCACCCAGGCTCACATGGGCCTGGCCTAGGGGTGACCCTGGGAATGTCGGCTCTGTCTCACTGCTGATCCCTTTAGTCAGTGCTCCCAGCTCCCTGGGATTGTGGGGGACTCGAGGGCCCATCTCACCTGATTTGGGTCAGGCAGTGGTGACTGAAACCAGTCCTTGGGGCTGCTAGGGTTGTCACTCTCCCTCCAGCAGTGGCCCGGTATACCCTGGGGTACAGCAGAAAGGCTCTATCTTTGTCTCCCCTGTAGGACAAAGCCATTCTCCAGGCATTGGACAGGGGCCCCCCCATGTCGCATATGAACCTGGACTTCCTTGTCTCCCCAGCGCAGAGGGGGTACCTGGGCTCCCCTGGACTTAAGCGCCCAGACTTCAGAATGATGTCCCCGAAATCCTTCCCTCAGCGCTTTATGCGGCAGGTAAAGTGACTTCCTACCTTCTGCCCTTCATTCCCCTGCTCCTGCGTCCCTGCTACTCCTCTGTTGGTCCCCTCTGCCCTGTGTCACTTTGGGGTCACTCTGCCCCATGCTCTGGGCCATCCCTCACAGCAGTGCAGCTCCAACAGTGTCTGTCTTGCATGTGCTATTTACACCATTGATGCTGAATGCTGCCAGGCAAGCTGCAGGGCAGGGCCTGACACTGGCCCAGTCAGTTAGCCTGCTGCAGCCCTGCTTCCAGTATCGGAGGGGTAGCCGTGTTAGTCTGTATCCGCAAAAACAACGAGGAGTCCGGTGGCACCTTTAAGACTAACAGATTTATTTGGGCATAAGCTTTCGTGGGTAAAAACACACTTCTTCAGATGCATCTTTAAGGTGCCACTGGACTCCTGCTTCCAGTAACATTCCTGTCTCCTGTCCTGCAGCAGTCTCCCATGATGCCCCGCTCCATGGGCTCCCCTCGACCGTACACGCCGTCCCGCAGAGCCTCACCTCTCTTCACCCCCAATCAGGTAATACCCCAAGCTGCTTCTTCCCTCCCAGCCCAGGGCCTCTCAGGAAGCTTTGGCCATTCCAATCTGCACCCGTACATGCGTCACTGGAGCTGATCAGCCCATCTCCCAATGTGGCAGCGCCAGAGAGTTTGAGGAAGGTGTCACGGCGTATTGACCTGGCTGCTAGCACGGCTCTATGGTGTGGGGAGGGAGGGCATTTCTTCTGAGCAAGCCCTAGCCCAAGGAATCTTTCTGCCCTGAAATGGCAGGATCAGCACTTGTAACTTCATCCTGGTCAGTGTCACTGCAGGTGCTGCTGTCTGGTCCTTCTTAGTAACTTACTAAGCTGTTCTCCAGCAGGCAGTTCCACAGGTGGTTACATAAAGAATCACTTCCTTCATCCATCTCAAATGCTTTGTCTTTTAATCCCAAGTGCCCTTTTCTGTTGTCTCATGGGGAAAGGAAATAGTCCCCTGCAGAGCTGTTCTCTTACAGACCTCTCTTCTCTTCTTTCCAAACTGCATAGCCATCCTCAATGTCTCCTCCTCTGGGATTCTGCCCCCACCCCTGACATGTTATCACTCTTGAGGATGTTCTCTTGGAGCCATACCCCTTGTCCCCTGTGCCTCCTCAGTCCTGCTGCCCCCTGTTGGATGAGGTGGGCAGCACCAAGTACAGTACATAGGGGAGGAGCTAGAGGGTGGCCTGGGGCATATTGTGTGGAGAGGTTGCTCTAGGCCTCAGCCAAAGCCCCACCTTCAGTTCCAGGCATCATGCTTCGGAAAAGACCAACAGGTAGGGTTACCATATTGCAATATTGGAAAAAGAGGACACTCCAAGGGGCCCAGGCTCCGCCCCTTCCCCGGCCCTGCCCAACTCTGCCCCCTCCCCAAAGTCCCCACCCCAACGCCGCCCCCTCCCCTGAGCATACCACATTCCCCCTCCTCCCCTCCCCTAAATGCTCCGCCCCCCTGCTCCTCCCCCTCCCCTGCTTCCCGCGAATCAAATGTTCGCCGGAAGCCTGAAACAGGCAGGCAGCAGGTAAGCTGGGGCAGCGGGGTGGGGGAGGGGAGGAGGCGCGGCCCAGTCTGGCCCCCCTGGCTGAGTGGCTCCCTCTGGCGCCCAGCCCCGGCCCAGCACCCCCGGCGGCTCCGGCCCCGGCTCTAGCGACTCCAGCTAGGCTCCGGCCCCGGTCCCAGCGGCTCCGGCCCAGCTCGGCTCAGGTCCTGGCCCTGGCCGAGCGGCGCCGGCTGGTGGCTGAGCACCCCCGGCCCCAGCGGCTCCAGCTCCGGCCCCAGCGGCTCCAGCCCAGACCCAAGCCCCACGACCCTGGCCGGAGCTCCGGCCGGAGCGCGGCCCAAGTCCTGGGGGAATTGGGTCCCGCTCTTGCTAAAGCCGGCCCTGATCGGGGGAGTTGTTAGTTTTGCTGCAGCCACTCCACTCACACTCGGGGTCCCCCGAGTGTCTTTTGCCCGAGTGCGAGTGGCTGCAGCAAAACTAACAACTCCCCTGATCTGTGGGGGGCACAGAGGCGGTGGGCGGCATCCGAGTGCGCAGCCGCCTCCTCCCCAGGCTCCGGCTGCTGCTGCGCTGGGGAAGTTGCTTCGGCCCCGGTGCGCGGTGGAGAGCGGCGGGAGCCGGGAAAGTTGGAGCCTGGGGAGGAGGCGGTCCCCTTACCATGCCTCCCTATTTTCCTGGACATGTCCGGCTTTTTGGAAATTCCTCCCGGACAGGGATTTGAGGACCAAAAAGCTGGACATGTCCAGGAAAATCCGGACGTATGGTAACCCTACCAACAGGGAGGTTAGAGAACAGCATGGACAGGGCAAGCAGGGACAGACTGAACCAGCAGCAGGACACAGGGCAGGGAAGAGTATGTCTTTAGGAGCCATTCAGGGCCTGGAGCTGGGCCCCACGTTGGGCACAGTTCCCCTAGTAGTATGGCCGGAAAGGGATTGGACCGGATCCCTGGAGCCCACTAATAGGTCACCTGACTCCTCCCTGGCGCTGGGGCAGCAGAGACCATCTTTGCTGGCTTGGCAGCATGATGCTGAAGTCCCAGCTGTGGTCTGTGTAATGGGGCTGAGGACAGGATCCCGCCGGGGCTTGAGGAACAGCTGGGAGCAGGAATTTTCAGACCCAATGGGCAACTAGGGCAGTGTCTGTCAATTAGTAGGGGGTGCTGTCCACATGACTGGCTGGAGATGGACCCGCAACAAAACTCCTCCAGCACTGGGTGCCTCCTGGCCATGCCTGGCAGTTGCGTGCGGGAGGGGTGAAGGAGCTCCATCCTGCCATGCAGTCTGTGCCGCTCTCATCAGCATGCAGCAGGGTGCAGAGGAGGAGGCAGCTCCACTACAGCATGCAGAGGGACAGGGAGGAGCCAGCACCTCTGGCCATGGGGCATTCCACTCCTTCTCCTTAATGCCAGGTGAACGAAAGTGCCCCACATCCATACTGGCCCTTCAAGGGCTCCTGGGTTTCTTGGTTAGGGGAAGAGGGTGCTCCAGCTCTGGAAACCTAACCCTTCTCTCCTCTTTCAGAGCTCGGGGTATGTGTCTCCGACCCCCTTTAGGCCCATGTCACGCAACATCAGCACCCCAACGCAGCCCCTGGCCATGCACTTTGGCCCCATGTCTCCCTCTCTGGAGCCCCCTCTCTTCTTCAGTCCTCCAGCCGGCTGCCAGCTGAAGTTCAGGTACCGTGGCAGGGGGCAGGATCCCTGTGACCAAAGCATCCAGGGCTCCAGCCTGTCTGATCTCCCCACTGATTGTGGGGCAGGGAGGGCGGCTAACCCCACAAACTGGACTTGGACCGAAGTCTGGTATTGAGGTTGGATTATATATCTGGTGCATGCTCTGAAATGGGAGCTGGGTGCCAGGGCCCCTACCAGAGCTGGGGCTAAGGAGGCATTGTGGCCTGTGAACCCCAAAATGATTTGAGGTTCAATGTTGCAGCCCTCCCACCTTATAGCTAAGGATCATGGGGGTGGGACTAGAACTGGTGCTGCTGCTCCTTAATTAGCCAGCAGGCTGGCTGGGACATGCCCCTGGATCCTCCAGGAATGGGCCCAGGTCGCCCACAGGGCAGTGGGGGGAAGAGACAGGGCACCCCCCTGCAGGGCCCCTTGTAGATCCAGATGCAGAGCCCCCTGCTCTGGAAGGCAGTGGCCTGAGTCTGGCCTGGTGTCAAGTGTCAGAGCCCGCCCCGCTTTGCCCCCACCCATCTTCATTGCCATATCCTCCATCAGCCCTTCTTGCTGCTGGCCTCATCCCCGCCACCTGTCTTTCATTGCAGTGTGCCCAGCCACATGACCCAGCTGCACCCTCAGCATCAGCGGATCCTGAATCAGCGGCAGCAGCGAGGGCAGGCGCAGAGGTGAGCTGGGGGGCAGGGAGGAAAGAGACTGGGGGCTCCTGTAAGGAGTTTGGGGGCACAGCCGGCACATGGTGAGATTGGCACAAACCTAAGCCTGGCGCCCTGGTGCTCCTAGCTGTGTGGGTGCAGCTTGCTGACGGGGTCCAGATGTTTCACTCCAGGCTACTCCCTGCTCTCTCTAGGCTGCAGTGCCTTTCCAGGGCTTCCTCTGGAGCTTTCTCAGCTAGGGACCTGGGGGACAGCTGATCCCCTAGGAGATGGCACGAGGCTGTGAGTGCCATGCCCAGGGCAAGGAAGCTTGAGATGTCTCCCCCTAGATGTTTGTGCCTGTGTCCTGCTGTGAGCCTGGTTGTGTGTAGGGGGTCACGGAGCCCCAGGCTGGCCCACTGGGATCCCAGCCGGGGGTTGTGTATAGGGGGTCACGGTAAGAGAGTGTGAGTGTGTGAGACTGAAAAGCAAATGCAAACTGCTGTATTCTCAATAAATGCGGCGTGTTGCCTTCTCCCCTATAAAAAAAAATCTCGTGTGCTTTGTTTAAGCATAACATCACGGAGCCCCAGACTGGCTCACTGTGATCCCAGCCGGGGGTTGTGTATAGGGGGTTACGGAGCCCCAGGCTGGTTCACTGTGCTCCATGGTTTGCGGCCGGCACAGAGCATAGCAGTGGCCTGAGCAGCTGTGACCCTGTGATTTGTCCCAGGCTCTGTGCACCTGCTGCCTGTAAAGGGGCACCTTGCCACTAATGTGGCACCAGTCGGGGGGTATCTGGCAGTGCCTGCTCTGGATTCCCCCTGCCTTTCAGGCCTCCACCCAGCTGGGGACATGCCCTGGTGCTGGGGTAGCTCTCACTCCCTGGGGCCCTGGCGCTCCCCACATATCGGTTCCTCAGCCCCATGCTCCTCCCTCCATGTACATGGCTGGAAATACTCCCATTGGAGGTGTGTGGCCTGGCCTTCCCCAGGTTGGGCTGAGACCCAGGCAGATCTGCCGAGGCTGCTGGGTGGGCAGGGGGACTCGGGTATGAGAAGCGGCTGGAGAGAGGGCCAGCTCTATGTGAGGGGGGCTCTGCCCATGATTCCCCCCTCTCTCCCCCACTGGCACTGCCACCAGCTCAGCTCCAGGATGAAGGAGCTGACCCACCTGGGGGGAGGTCGGGAGGGGACTGGGGGCTGGCCTGTGCCAGGTGTGCAGCACAGGCGCTGGAGGGGGAGCAGCCAGCAGAATCATCTCAACCAGAGGATCTTTCACCTCCTTGTGCTCAGTGCTCTCCCTCCCATCCCGGGGCCACTTGTGCTCCCCACATATTGGTTCCTGTCTTGCTAGGCCTTCCCAGGGCCTGTGTAGTCCCCCTGCTACCACCCACATCTCCAGGCAGAAGCCTGATGTGAACCCTTTAATTGATGGGGGGTTGGCCCAATGGGAGCAGCTGGTTGCTGCAGATGCTGCCCCAGGCGGAGTCCCCAGGGAGTAACACTGGGGGGTGATTCCTGCCCTGCAGCATCTCCCCCAAGAAGGCATGGTCCCCGAAGGCGGATCCCTATTCTGGGCTCATGACACGCAAGGAGAAGGATTGGGTGATCAAGGTGCAGATGATGCAGCTGCAGAGTGAGAATCCTCACCTGGACGACTACTATTACCAGGTGAAGGGGGCGGGGGGCGGGATCCGATGCCTTCTCTCCCTAGAATGGGCAGAGACCTCCCTGGCTGCGTGGGGCTTGGGTTTCCCCCACAGCCCCAGCTGGGCAGACCCCCACTATCCCCAGGCTGCTCCCCAGCTAGGTTGGTTCTGTCCCACAGGATCCATCGCTGCACAGCTCTGTCCCAGCTGTGGGGTGGAGGAGGGTGCTCGTGTCCTGTCCTGACGTTGGCCATCCCCGGAGCATGGGGCCTGATGAGGATGCAGGGGGCAGCCAGGAGCCCTGGACTGAGGGCAGAGGCAGGAGAATTAGACTGGCCCCTCCTGGTGCAGAAACCCACTTGGGGCAGATGGACCAATTAAACTGCTCCTCCCCCCAGCAAGAGCCCCGGGGCTGATGTTGGACTGGGTGGAGCCCTTCCCCCTCTTTGGGCCACTGCAAGGGCATCAAAACCTTTTGGGGGGGGATTGGGGGAGGGAGGGGGAAGGGCAAAAACGGAAGTGCCCCCTCCCTCTCCAGGGCTCGCTGCTCCAGTGGTGTGCCAGCTGCCCTCTTCTGGTGCCACAGCAGCCCCTGGTGGGCCAAAGATGTAATTGCAGCACCTCCTGGGCAGAATCTTATTCCGCAGGGAAGAAAAATCAGCAGCAGACATGAATCCAGCTCTTATGTTTCTTTTGTTAAAAAGTGGGGGGGGCCCCAAGGACCCCTAATCCTCCGGTGCCAGTGGGCCACGGCTACTGCAGTGTGCTCAGCCCCATAGCAGGCCTGTGCCCAGCCTGCTGCCTCCTCTCACAGCTGCTTTGCCGTCCTTTCCTTCGCAGGCCTATTACCACAGGCTGGAGCGGAAGCAGGCAGAGGAGGAGCTGCTTGGGGGGCGCAACAAGCAGGAGCCCCCCAAGCTGGTCACGCCGTACATTCAGAAGATGGAGATCTATGACTCTGGTAAGGATGAGGGGAAGGGCACTGCCTGAGGCAGGCAGAAGGGGCCCTGAGTAGGTTCTCAGCATGTCTGCCTCTCTTTCAGTGGTGCGGATTGCAGGCTCACTGGGCCAGGTTGCCGTGTCCACATGTTACAGTCCCCGTAGGGCCATCGATGCCGTGCACCACGCCCTGCAGGAGGAGGTACGTATGAGGTGGCTGTGCTCCCCTGAACCTGCCCTGGCCCTCTGTGCAGCCACTCGGTGGGAGCTTTCTCATCTGCCTTAAAGCTTCCCGGAGGAGATTGGGACCCCTGCCCCCTTCTGTAGCTGCTTTGGCTAGTGAGGCTCCGGCACCCGTCGCTCTGGATCTATCACTGGTGAGATCAGCCCAGCACTGGGGATAGGTCAAGTAGCCAGGTCAGGTGGGGTCAGCTCCTGGGCTTCATGCAGCTTGACAGGAGCCCTTTGAAGTGCTCCCCATGTGGGTTGCTCAGTGTCCTGCGGCCATCACATCTGATCAAGCCTGGTAGTAGCTTGGGGACAGCACTGTGGCCTGGAGACTGCTGTGTTTTGTGGTGGTTGTAACTGGTTGTCTTCCCTTCTCCCCTCTGGATCTGAAGGCTGCAGGGAACCAGCGACTTCGGGCGCTGCACAGAATCGAGAAGGTGAGAGGGTGCCTCATGCACCGTCATGGCTTCGGGGCAAGACATTTCCCCTCCAGTTGACGTGCTGGGGGGAGCAAGGGCAGGGGAACAGCAGTGGCGGAAGGCGGGTTCATTAGAAGCTGGATATCGGCTCCCTCCAACTTCTGCAAACCCGGTGTGGCCTGGAACTTGGCGTGTCCAGCCTCTCGGGGCAGAGATGCTTCGGGGGAGGGTTAGTGTCAAGTGGGGCAGGGAGGGTTTGAGAGATGAGTCCAACAGCGTCTCGGGGCAAAGCCAGGGGATGTTCTGTGGAAGATCCCAGCTTGCATGTGGCTTTGGTGCAGACGCTCCACTCTGCCATATTCATCTGCCTCCTTGAACCTAGGGCACAGGGCTATTCTGAAGAAGGTCAGATAGTCAATGTTAGAGGCTGTGGATCAGTGGATCTCTGGCTTCTCCGAGTCCCCTGCAGAGTTCACAAGTCCATAAGAAACTGTGTATTAGAGCTAGTCCGGGAGACCTGAGTGGCTGAGTGAGCACCTCTGGCTGATGGAGGTCCTGGATCCTTGCAGTGAGGGTGGGGTGAAACTTACCCAAGGGTCCCAGGTCCCTCCTCAACCCCAATGGGAAGTCTCTGTTGTACGTAGGAGCTGTGGCTGGGACCTCTTGGGATGTCCCAGCTGCTTGTCTCTCACAGCCAGGCAGCTCGCTCCTTGTCACAGGCTGAGTGCTGGGGGAAGAATATAGAGTGTAGGGCTACTGTCTATCCAGACAGGCTCATATAGGATCTCATTATTCCTCCGCCCCACCCCGGCCCACCTACTAGCTTCTCTCCTGCTTCCTCAGATGTTCCTGCAGCTCCTGGAAGTGGAGGAGACTCAGCGGAAGATGAGCCTGCTGCCCGAAGAACAGCACCCCCGTTTCCGTGAGAAGAAGAGCCACGAAGTGGGGCGCATCTACCAGGCCCTGAAGATCAGGGCGTGCAACAGTGAGGAGTGAGTTTGCTGGTGCACATTTGTGCACTGTCCCTGCGCACGGCTGGCCCCTGGGGAAGGGGGCCTAGGGGCTATCTGGGGAGGGTGCAGGTCCCAGCCCCATGGTGAAGCACGCCCCACGCGCATGGAGATGCTGTTAGAACAGCAGATCTCTGAGGCCAGATGGGAACGCCCTGTTCCCTGTCACCTGGCACTAGTGGGTTTGGGAATCTGAAACATTCCTGTCTTCAAACTCAGCACTCCACATCCAGCTGTACCACATCAAATACTCTGGGGCTAAGCCCGCTGCCCACTTGATGGGAGACAGCTCCTCTGCTGGACACTGGGGCCCTGTGCTGCCTTCTCCTGGCTCCTCCTTCCTCCCCACACCCAAGCCATGCAGGATCCTGTTAAACTCCCCTGCTGGAGGCACAGGCCCCTCCCTGTCACCCCAGTTGCCTGCTTCCCTGGCGGCACTTCCCGCTGCCAGTGGAGCAAGGGTAGGTGGGAGGGTGCTGGGTCCTACAGGGTCTGGGCAGCTCAGGGCTCTCCCACAGGGAGGCAGAAGACGAGTTCCTGCAGGTCCTTTGTGTACGGAAGGGGAAGAAACTGACCGCGCGGCTGCTGCCGCACCTGGCACGGGAGCAGGCGGAGGAGATCCTGGTCACCATCACCCGCCACCTGCCTTTCCTCATGAGGAAGGATGTGCTGGATGAGGTAATGGCCTTCTGGGGGTAGGGAGAGGCTGGTCCTGGGATGGGGCACCATTTCCCCCTCCCCCAAACCACTGCCCTGGAGCGAGCAGGGAATTTGCCCTCCGCGTTCAATCCAAGCTGGGCCCTAGATTCTAGAGGGGCCATTCTGCAGGCACTGGGTACTGATGAACTGGAGGGAGCTCAGGAGAAGGCCTCAACCATTGTAGGAAACTGGGGAATGAGAGGGCTGGCGTGAGGCAGAAGGGTCCACCTGGGCAGCAAGTCTAGGGCTGGGATCCCAGAATCCAGCAGGGGTGAGTGATACAGGGTTATAACTAGGGCAATGGGGGGAGGCTGGGAAAGTGGGGATGTAGCCAGGGCTGCAGGGAAAGTCCTGGCTGGGCATGGCCAGACTGTGGCCTAGTCTGCAGATTGCTATGCCGGAAGGTCCCTTGCTTGGCTGCCCTGGGGAATAGACTGTAGGGCACAATTCTGCCCAGGCCGATGGGCTGGAGGATCTGTGGTGTCTGGGCTGGAAAGGGGGCGCTTTGTTTACACCTTCAGCTGCCAGCATGAGCTCGCCTGTTTCAGTTGGGAGGGGCAGGTCCAGCCAGTGAGCACTTGATAGTGCTTCCCAGTGCCCCCTGCAGGTTGGGTTCGTTTCCCCCATCCCTGCAAGCAGATGCTGTTGCGATTACATGCCAGAGCAGGGAGTAGGAGTTGAGCCCACCTGTATGGTGTCAGGTCTGGGGGCTGGTTTTAACCGCGCTGACTCCTCTCTCCGTGCTGGTGTTTAGTCCCTGCCTGTCCTGTACGGCCCCCTCAGCGAGATGGTGGGCCGGATGACCTTCAGCGAGCTCATCGAGGTCCTGCAGGAGCTGACCAGGCCGCTTGCCGGCTCCACCGAGCTGCCGCTCACCATGACCTTTAAGAACCAGGTGTGTGGGGCTGGGTGGGGCAGGAAGTTGGGGCCAGAAGGGCTCCAGGAGGGAAAGCCGGTGAGCTCAGCGCTGTCCTGGAGGATGAGATTCTGCGCCTGTCTCTGGGCGCTCTGGGGTGGGTGCTGGGCCCTGTGGGGGACATGCTCCATCCTGGGGCTGGGCCTGGCCTGGCTGTGGTTGCTGTTTCTAACCCATGTCCGCTCCTGTGCTTCCCCGCAGTTCGGGATCTCGCTTCTGTACGCCCTGCTGAGTCACGGCGAGAGGCTGCTCTCCTCTGACATGCCGCTGGGGCCGCACAGCGGGGACTTCGAGAAGTGGTGAGGTGCCACGGGGAGGGGTTTGGCCCAGGCGGTGCCCCGTGGGGGAGGGTGGCTGGGTAGCACACAGCACGCCGTGTTGGCTGGTGCGGGGGGGGCAGCCAGGTGCTCACTGGTGGGTTTGTCTCCCCAGGACGGACACAGTGTTCCTGGTTGCCAGGGAGCTGTCCCAAGTGCCCAAGACTGCCCTGGTGGAGCCTCTCTTCCTCCCCAGCAACCTCCTCTCTTTGTTCTGCCGCTACCTGGACAAGCAGACCATCCACCGCCTGGAGGCCAAGATGGAGTGAGTGCTGGTCT